TCCAATAACTTTTTAATGGTTAGTGAATCGATTTGTAATTTTTACAGGAGTTTTAGAATTTAATGAGGAACGTTCTTCCAAATTTTTATTTGTCTCGTAGCATTTTGACATACCTCCCAAACATGGTGAACGAAGTGCTTTTTAGAATAATTTAAGATGTGTAGGTTCATACAGGAGACTTATAAATGATAAAATAAATATAATGTAATTCAGTTGATAGAAAATCGCTGTATACAACTACATGTATACATCCGCTGTCCTGTATCGTTTACAGCCTGTTGTATGTTAATCACTTTATATCTTATAAAATACTCCCGATATTTCTTGTGTGCAATCGGTACGACTTACGACTGCGGCTGTCGGTTTTCGTTAGCTTTACTAAAAGTTACCATCACATATCGATTACCGTCCGCGGCATTTGTTCATGACAATGCACAGGGCGAGTCATAACTATAGGGACACAGAGTAAGTGTAGGTTATTTGGACCAAAATGTGAAGATTGGACTAAACATGCCTTAAGATGTTGCTGTTATAAAAGATACAGGTTGTTACAAGGTGACATATTATTTTCGTTTTTTAATAATAATTTCACAAGATTTTCTAAAATCGTTATCAAAATTGTCATAGAGGTATAACTTTACACAGGAAATATTATTTCACTTATTATTTTACATTTTATTACAAGGAGCACCACATAAGCGATCCTTAAAGATGAAATTGGATCACATTTTTTTAATGAAACGTTTCGGTCATTTTGATTCGCTCATATAAAAAATGTAAAATTGTAAGTAAACTAATATTTCTTACATAAAGTTATAGCTCTGTAACAGTTTTGACAACAATTAATGAAAATCTTATGAAATTATTACAAAAAAATGAAAATAATATGTCACCTTTAACACCCTGTATCTTTTTCCATAGCAACATTTTATTAAGGTATGTTGGGTTCAATTTTCATATTTGCTCCAAAAAACCTACACTTACTCTATGTCCCAATAACTCACCCTGTATGTTGTTATGAACGAATGCCGCAGACGGCAATCAATACGTGGCGGTATCTTTCAATAATGCTACCGAAAACCGACAGCCGGGGTCGTAAGTCATACTGATTGCACATATAACTGCGAATGTTTTATGACATATAAATCAGTGACTACCATCCAACGGAATTTAACTGATGCAAGACAGCTGATATGAAAGAACATTAAAAAGTTTCTCGCAATATCGTTAAAAAAATGCGGAAACGCAAAAAATAGCAATTTCAGATTTGTTTGTGAGAGTTTTTCGCTACTTTTATACGAAATGTATTATGAGTCTTGGGTAAGAAACTACTATACTCTTATTTTACTATAAAAAGTAGTTTATCTTTGATTTTTTTCGATCTCAGAATGGCCTAGAAACGGCCCTTATTACCCTAATCAGTTTAGTTCGTTTTACATAAGTATTTGTTGGTTAATTTTTTAATAGGGACGAAATGGGTTGGGAAACATTTACGTCTGGGCAAGTGGAGATGGGGGTGAAGACGACGATTGCAACTGTGACGGGTACGCCGCAAGTATGTGGACAATAAGCATTAATAGCGCGATAAATGACGGTCAAAATGCTCATTATGACGAAAGTTGCTCTTCAACGTTGGCATCAACTTTTAGCAATGGGGCCAAAGACCCGAAAACTGGAGTTGTAAGTTTTTAAATTTCTCTTTTAAATTCCGAAATCAGTTTTTCCTTTTTTATCCTTCATTATAACAATTTTATAAAGGCAACAACTGACTTGTACGGGAAATGCACTACCACCCATTCCGGAACATCAGCAGCTGCCCCGGAAGCTGCAGGGGTCTTCGCATTAGCATTGGAAGCCAAGTAAGCTTTTGACTTTATTGCATCTAATATTGAGTGGCATTTTATGTAGTAGCTGTTATACTTACAACCTATTGAATCAACCCAAACATAATAATACGAACTAAATTCAACATCACAAAAGGGTGATGAATGTATAGGTAGTTCAAAAACACATGAGCTTTCACATGCTCGAAAGGCGGGCCTTATTGTTATTGACTCGGATGATAGTCATGCGCAAAACAGTTAAAATGTTTGCTTTTGAAAACAAATTCTAGAGAACTGTTAACACAAATATAATAACTTAGCTCCAGAAAAAGAAAATATAAAACTAAGTGCAAGGTAAAAAAGTAAAACCAAGTCCAAGAATAAAATACCTACGAATGCTAAATTCAGTTAAAAAAGGCATAGAAAGGCAAAGAGCTTAATCAACATAATAAGGTTGTCAGTCCTAAGACTGGTTGGAAACGCACCTCCACTTTTTCCTATCCTGAGATAATCTTCGCATTTCCCTAAAACTAGAACAACCCATATCCTCAACTATTTGCGAACAGTAATCTAATCTGGATCCACCTCTACCCCTCTTAACTTTACTTTCTGCTTCTAATATGTCTTTGACTAAATCTTCATGCCTGAGAAGTTGTCCTACTGACCTATCTCGCCTATTTTTTATTGACTTCCATAGAGTCCTCTGCTCTCCTATTCATTCTAATACCTCTTCATTTCTAACCTTCTCTATCCACGGTATCCTCATCATTCGCCTGTAACACCACATTTCGAACGCTTCTAACCTTTTCCTTTTCGCCGCGCCCACTGTCCATGTTTCGCACCCGTACAGCGCTGTGCTCCAAACATACACCTTTAACAGTCTTTTTCGAATTTGTAAATTAACTGTTCACGAGCATAGAAGTGACTTCTTTTTATTGAAGACGACTCGACCCTGCGCTATCCTCTGCTTTATATCCCTACTACTTCTTCCGTCCTGACTTATCTGACTTCCTCAGGTATATAAAATCAGCCATTTCTTCTAAGTTTTCGTCCCCTATCTTTATATTTGCTCTTTCGCTACTTTTTCTTCCTTTGCATGCCAGTATTTTTGCTTTACTTTTATTTATTTTCATGCAATACGGTTTTGTCAATACAAAAAACTAAATGTTACGTAATTACTTAAATTATTTATAACACCACATTTCGAACGCTTCTAACCGCTTCTTTTCCGCCGCGCCCACTGTCCATGTTTCGCACCCGTACAAAGCCGCTCTCCAAACATACACCTTTAACAACATTTCTCTAATTTCTAAATTAACCGTTCGCGAGCATAGAAATGATTTCTTTTTATTGAAGATGACTCGACCCTGCGCTATCCTCTGCTTTATATCTCTACTACTCTTCCGTCCTTACTTATCTGACTTCCTAGATACTTAAAATCAGCCACTTTTTCTAATCTTTCGTCTCCTATCATTACATTCGCTCTTTCCCTACCTTTTTTCCCTTGCATACCAGTATTTTTGTTTTACTTTTATTTATTTTCATACAGTACTGTTTTGTCAATACCGCTTCTATTTTGTTTAAAGCTATCTCTAACTCCTCCTTACTAATACTGCTATACTTCATATACTAAAGAAAGACTTAATGAAGGGTAAAAAAAAATGAAAATGTTACATTCATTCCAAAAAATGACGAAGCAGAGAAATGGGGAAGTTACTTTTACTCAGAATAAAAAATACGAAGTAATAAAATCGCGGTCAAAATATTATTGTTGGAAAAAAGGAAATAGTGTACGGAAACTAAATTCAAAATCAAATTCATTGTAGATAAAACAGAATAGCTTAATACACTATAAAAAATATAAAACTATCTTTGTGGTAAACAATATAGAGCTAAAACTAGGACAAAAAGAAATAAAAAACCAAGTGCAGAAAAAATAGGAACTAAATTTAGGCTAAAAATGGTAAAACTATGTTAGGTGTAGAAAAATAGGAAGCTAAATCCAGGGCAAAAAGTAATAACAAAACCAAATCCAGAGAAAAAGTTAATACTAAACTCAGGTTTAAATAAAAAATACAGAACTTTATTCAGTGTAGAAAATAAATACAACGTAAAAGAAAGAAAATTAAATTCTGCGTAATAAGCAACAAATCGGGTATAAAAACTGACAAAGTTAAATCCAGGATTCTGTAGTTTATAAAATAATTCATTGTTAAATAATACCATTTGAAAAGATTATTTTTATCTATTGAATAAATAGTAGTCTCCTACAATTTTAGTATAGCCTATGATCTTTGGGAATTTGGGAACAGGTTTCGATTTTCGATATATTTCTGACCTAGAAAAATTGTTCTTATTAAAATTTAAAATAAACATCAATATCTACAAATCGACAAAAATGGTAGTCACCTACGATTAGGCTAAAGAGACGGAGTAAGCTGAGTATTTTTGTGTAAACCTTTATTTTGGCATTCTAAATGTTGGTCTCAAAAGTCTCGTAAGGTGACGCGTTGGCGTCCTTAGATATTGGGGGTCAAAGGTCGCGAATATCAGTTTTTTGGAATATCTCGCTTCTCTACAGATTTTTATACGTTTTGCTTCATTGTTAGTCCAAAGCTCACGTGGAGGGACATGCAGCATCTGACCGTTTTAACATCAAAGAGAAATTCTCTTTTCGATGCAAAGGGCCGTTTTCACTGGACCATGAATGGGGTCGGATTAGAATTCAATCATTTATTTGGTTTCGGTGTTTTGGACGCAGGAGCTATTGTGGCACTGGCCAAGCAATGGAAATCTGTACCACCAAGATTTCACTGCGAGGCAGGAGTGATTAAGGAGGAAAGGCAAGTACCTACCTAAAAGAATATTCTTCCACATTTACGAAAGTCACAATTGATTATTATTAATTATTAATATCGTAACCTTAAATTCCTGGTCTGAACTATCGAAACCGTCGAACTCTTTGGTTCTCATCAGCACGTCATAGGCAAGTCGCACCAAACACTGGCCAACCTGCTTACTACCGAAAAGGCTAAAACTTTTAAAACCTTCCGGGGTGGCCGCCACCGATTTGGCAGCGGTTGTAATAAGTGAAGCTACATCAAAAATGATGAGACTTTTTTTCAATTTGCGAAAAAATAATTTTTAAGGGGTGAAAATAATTTTTGAAGTTGGTGCTCTATATAATTGATATTTTCAAAAACCACTAAAAATTCTACATGAAAAACGGTAAAATGTACTTTTGTAATTGCACATTGAAAAATATATAATTTCAAAGGATTAAAAAGGAAAAAAAACAAATTACAGAAAATCTATTGATTATTTATTATTGAGGCCAATTTTAATCAAAAGAACGAAAAAATTACTAAAACGTATCTTGCATTTTTAAAGAAACATAATTATACAGGGTGGCCCAAAAAGTACGCTTGTTCCCTATTTTAATACAAGATCGTCTGCAGCATTTAAATGTTATGGGAAAAAGTTGTTCAGTATTCTAAACTATGGGCCCATGCAAAAACAAAAAGGCAGCGACATGTCAAATGTCTTTATTATCTTAAATTAATTTCGGCGATTGATTAAGCATAAAAAAATCAGAGGTCAAATTGAGCTTAAAAAAGAAGGTTAATTTTTCTTCAAAACGGTGTTGTACCTACATCTATCCAACTTTTTCAGTCCTTGAATCGAATCAGAAAACATTAAAATAACGCCGCTCCATATTTTAGCATTCTGAACAGCTTTTGCGAAACGAAACTTTCTTTCTTCTATTTTTGAGCACTCTTTATAGCAAATGAAATATAGATTTTGCAGATGATGCTGCATTGAAACAGGGACAAGTTTTATTTTAAAAAATTTTCTATTAAACTTTTAGTTTGACAACAATGAGCATATGACGGACTTTTTGGGCCACCCTGTATAATCGTCTTTTTTTGAAAAATGCAGAAACAGTATTTAGTAATTTTTTACGCTCTTTTGATTAAGTACCATTAAACAATAATCAATTGATTTCTTGCAAATATATTTTTTTCATTATCAACCCTTCTAAATATGNAGATTTTGCAGATGATGCTGCATTGAAACAGGGACAAGTTTTATTTTAAAAAATTTTCTATTAAACTTTTAGTTTGACAACAATGAGCATATGACGTACTTCTTGGACCGTGTATTTAGTAATTTTTTACGCTCTTTTGATTAAGTACCATTAAACAATAATCAATTGATTTCTTGCAAATATATTTTTTTCATTATCAACCCTTCTAAATATGCGATTACAAGCATCTTCTAGCGTTTTTCATACAGAATTTAATCCATTTGGTCATTTTTGAAAATATGAGGTATAAAAATATGTGAAACCTGAAAATGACCCTTATGGGATCAACTTCAGAGGTTACTTTTACCCCTTCAAAATTTTTTTTTGCAAAAAAGTAGGAATCTCTTCATTTTTGTTACTACCAAATCAACAACGATCACCTCGGTTTTCTTGTTAGTAAATTAAAATTATTATTTTTGTCATTGTCTGATTTTTTGAAATGCATTTTTTACCCCGTTGCATAATTGTTTTACTTGTTCATACGGAAATTAAATATCTTTAAGAATCGCATCAAAGTCAGCATAATTTTATTCTAAATGGAATTTATTAACCCAAGGGTTTGAAATCCTAAAACTGCTTCAGGATTTATCCTAATGATGATTTTAATAGATTGTGTACTTAATACTGAAGTTGTATAAAAGTAATTATGTTCAAACATGTTTGTAGGCCGATTCCTTCATCAAAGTCCCTTATTTTAAATATCGAAACTGATGCTTGCAAGAGAACGAACACGGAAGTTAGATATTTAGAACATGTACAAGCCGTTGTGTCAGTAAACAGTAGCAGAAGGGGTGACTTGGAACTTTATTTAACATCTCCTATGGGAACCCGGTAGGTATCGGCACCTTAGTATGTTTATGAGCTTACGTATGTATATAAATTTTTGAACATTATATATAAAAGAAATATGAGTGCTGTCAGCACAGGGCAACGTAGTTAATTATCAGCAATTTCTTATGCTGAAGTGTATGATGTGTTGCATACCTATTTAGAAACAATTCCTTTAAATTTTAATCATTGATTACTATACATCTATTAAAAAACTATAATGGCCGACATCAGTGACAATGCGACAACAATTGAAAAAGAATAATGGCCGACAAGTGCAACAATTAGAAAAGAATGATGGCCGACACTACGTCACAAAAGTAAATTTCGACCACTCGAAGCAATGGTGCTAACAGTTTCTAGCTCACAGTGACTGATAGGGGGTAGAACTAGTTAATTTCTTAATAATTTTGAAAACTGCTCACATTTTTTTACTAATATATAATTTTTATAATCTTCAGATCTATGATTTTGAGTAGAAGGCCTAATGATGACGATTCAAGGGATGGTTTTACAAAATGGCCTTTTATGACTACTCACACATGGGCCGAATATCCGCAAGGGACTTGGCAATTAGAGGTAAATATTTGGGCGAATGGGTACCATTATTCGTATAGGTAATGTAGGCAATTGCCAATGGACCCTGGTGTTGATTAATTGTAAGTCGCACTTTATTTTATAAAAGGGACAAAGGCTGGTATCTTTATAAAAAATAAGGGAATAGGACATAACACTCTCTGATATTAACATTAGGCATAGAAAACTGTCCTACAGCTATGTACAATAGGCAATGTTTAAATATAATTTCAGAATGCATTGTAAACTAACCCCATGCACTTTCATTAATTGCATTAGTGAATTATCAGTAGGTACCACCAGAGTAATTACTTACTGTTTATTTCACATGAGTATGTGCTGTAGGATTCCCCGATTCACAATCGTAAACCAAGTTTACACGAAAATTAATTCCCGTTTGGATTTTTAATAGGTTTTTCGACAAAATTTGACGATTAAATTGGGTTTAAAAACGAAATGGTGCACTCCGGGTAGTTCCCAAGGGTTTAAATACTTATTGTAAAAGAACCCATAAGCTCGATTTTTATGGAATTTTGGAAGATATTTTCATTTAGGCTGACTATTCCAAAAAATATTCCAGTGTGTGCCTTCCAGAAACACGATCTTCTTTGCTACTATGTATGTTGGGTTGCCTACATACATGTGACACTGTTTTGTTCCCTAAATTTTAATTTTTTTATACTTGTGGAAAGAAACACGTGGCTTTCAAATTCCTTCAAATAATTATTTTTATTTTTTTTTTATTACCCAGGTACGATTTAATTCAGAAATACCACAAAGCGGTTACTTCAAAGAATGGATGCTAATGTTACATGGTACCCGGGAACCCCCTTACACGGATCTTTCAGTATTGGACCCCCATTCGAAACTAGCAATTGTCAAAAAAGCCCATGAAGAACAAATGAAAGTGTAAGAAGAATTAAAAATTTTGATTTCACCGAAAACTAAAAATTATTTGCATAACTACTTATTTCGATTTTATTATCATGATTCAAACAGAAATCCGTATATATGACAATTAAAAAACATCACATACGTGAATATAAGTTCTAAAAACCATTTATTTATTATGTAGATTGTAGGATAATGTTACTTAATTCAATATACAGTTATATTCGAAAAAAATGTGCTAGTCGACACCCACATCAATACGGATGGCAGTAGATAAATAATTTTAATAGTGATTCGTTTCCAGAAAGTGTATTATAGGTGAAATGTTACAAATCACATTTATTATAAAACTGTACCTTCTTAAAGAATGTTTTATTAACGTTAAAGTTTATTAAATTGAAATTTTACAATTTGCATTAGGGCCACTATAAAATCAACACCAATATTAAACATTAACTATTTACCACAAATATACATACATACATATAATGATAATAAAATTAAACATTTATTAATTCATTATAACGTAATTAGGTATACACAGTAACCCACCCTGTATAATCGTCTTTTTTTGAAAAATGCAGAAACAGTATTTAGTAATTTTTTACGCTCTTTTGATTAAGTACCATTAAACAATAATCAATTGATTTCTTGCAAATATATTTTTTTCATTATCAACCCTTCTAAATATGCGATTACAAGCATCTTCTAGCGTTTTTCATACAGAATTTAATCCATTTGGTCATTTTTGAAAATATGAGGTATAAAAATATGTGAAACCTGAAAATGACCCTTATGGGATCAACTTCAGAGGTTACTTTTACCCCTTCAAAATTTTTTTTTGCAAAAAAGTAGGAATCTTCATTTTTGTTACTACCAAATCAACAACGATCACCTCGGTTTTCTTGTTAGTAAATTAAAATTATTATTTTTGTCATTGTCTGATTTTTTGAAATGCATTTTTTACCCCGTTGCATAATTGTTTTACTTGTTCATACGGAAATTAAATATCTTTAAGAATCGCATCAAAGTCAGCATAATTTTATTCTAAATGGAATTTATTAACCCAAGGGTTTGAAATCCTAAAACTGCTTCAGGATTTATCCTAATGATGATTTTAATAGATTGTGTACTTAATACTGAAGTTGTATAAAAGTAATTATGTTCAAACATGTTTGTAGGCCGATTCCTTCATCAAAGTCCCTTATTTTAAATATCGAAACTGATGCTTGCAAGAGAACGAACACGGAAGTTAGATATTTAGAACATGTACAAGCCGTTGTGTCAGTAAACAGTAGCAGAAGGGGTGACTTGGAACTTTATTTAACATCTCCTATGGGAACCCGGTAGGTATCGGCACCTTAGTATGTTTATGAGCTTACGTATGTATATAAATTTTTGAACATTATATATAAAAGAAATATGAGTGCTGTCAGCACAGGGCAACGTAGTTAATTATCAGCAATTTCTTATGCTGAAGTGTATGATGTGTTGCATACCTATTTAGAAACAATTCCTTTAAATTTTAATCATTGATTACTATACATCTATTAAAAAACTATAATGGCCGACATCAGTGACAATGCGACAACAATTGAAAAAGAATAATGGCCGACAAGTGCAACAATTAGAAAAGAATGATGGCCGACACTACGTCACAAAAGTAAATTTCGACCACTCGAAGCAATGGTGCTAACAGTTTCTAGCTCACAGTGACTGATAGGGGGTAGAACTAGTTAATTTCTTAATAATTTTGAAAACTGCTCACATTTTTTTACNATTTATATACACAGTGTGTTTGATAAAAAATAGCTCTACCAATTTTGCAAATATGTTTTGATAAAAAAAACTTTTTTGAATGTAAGACTTTCCTGTTTTAAAAGACAAATCGTTTAATGAATTCCTGAATATACTTTAACTTAAAACCTACCATTTAAAAAAATTAATATATTTCAAAATAGTCTTGTTTCCCAACGTATTTTATAAATTTAAATTTTTAAATATAATTGGTTTTGCGCCAAACATTTTCATTGGTTATGATGACAGATAAACGACAACGTATCTTCGGAAGTTATCGATAGCACTCGTTTAACAGTCGACTGATGTTTGACCGCCATTTAATGTCACATTTTGTAAAACGCGTGACTTCGTCTTCAGAAATGTTTTTTATTGCATAATTTCCATGTGCATTCAAAATTAAAGTGAATGTGAATTCGAGAGATTTTTGTGAGCAAGTGTCATAAGTGATAATTAACCTACAAAACTAATTGGATACTGTTAAAGGGAAAGATAAACGCCGGGTTTGTAAACAAAATCATGTTGGCCTAAAAAACAAAAAGCTGTTTATTTGGCAGCATTTTTACGTGAACAAATCATTTTTCAAAAAGTGTGATCAGCATCTATTTATTCAGCATCTAAACTACTCTTCAGCCATGAAAATAAAATCTCGTAAGTAGCAGAGTACACTGTTTACATTCCTTAACTGTCGGCCTTGTTTATACTTTTAACAGAGTGCATTTTCAACTAGAAAACATAATTGTCACAGTCATTTTGGCATATTATTTAATTTGTTGTGAGAATTTAAATGATAAAAACCACGAGGTAATGGGAGCCATGTTGTCAAATGTCATCTAAAATTTAATGGGGATATTAAAAACATGACTAAAACTATCCTAATTTTTTTTAAAACCTGACTCGAATAATTCTGAAAATTACATTAAATTATTGCTTAGATACTACCGTCTCTTTTTTTGTACCAAGATGATTTGTGTTATTTAAAAATAACACATAACCTTTTCAGTTTGACATTTCGCTTGTTTATCGGCTTCTTACGACATAATCCGTTACATGTGTAAAAGTTTTAAATTTTTAACTGTCTATTTTCAAAAGTTATCACATAAAATTTATCAAATTAAGCTGAGATCGTTTGAAATTCGTTGTCTAAAAATTATAGAATGACTAACTGGAGTAAGTATTTCTTGTAATAATATGGAACTGTTATTAAAATATAAAAATCATATAAGGTTTATGTGTTCCTAAATAAAAAAAATTGTTTAGATCGAGACCGATTTCAATCAGGAAGTAGCACCGATGACAATGATTCCTGTTCAGATGTGGAAGATCACGTTCAAACCTTGCAAGTTAACATGCAAAATCATAATATGGGATCGGTCCGAAAACGTCGAGGTAATTTGCCTAAACATTCTGTTAAGATACTGAAGAGATGGCTGTACGAACACCGCTACAATGCATACCCCAGTGACGCTGAAAAGCTAACCCTTTCTCAAGAAGCCAACCTGACCGTATTACAAGTTTGTAACTGGTTTATAAACGCCCGCAGACGTATATTACCGGAAATGATAAGACGAGAAGGTCACGATCCTTTACATTATACAATATCCCGACGTGGTAGAAAATTAAATAACAATTCGGCTATGATAATTGAGCAGCCCCAGGCTAATTGGGAAGAAGAGGCTGTGACCAGAAACGGAAAGCGTATAAGACTGGATCATGACTATGATGAGAGCATAACCCTCATGTACAGGTCTGAGGAGGATAGCCCAAATGAATATGAAAGCTCCAGCCCCAGTGAAGAAGAGAAATTTACCCCATGGCAAACAGTTATTCGTTATGGAATGCCAAAAGAAAATCAACACCCAGCAAATCGAGGGTAAGAAGTCTCGTTTATTTTAAGTTCACTAGAGAATATTAATTTTTATCATTTCAGCTCCCAAAAAGAAACCGTCAGATCGTCATCAGACTATTGGAGTGCTCCACACCCTCAACTCGCCCATCTGCCCCAATTGCCACATCCACTGTCGAATCCTAAAGTACAGGTAATGCCTGTACACTCAAATGTAGCTGTATTACCATCATCACCCCCACCTACACCACCAGAAAATGAGGAAGATGAAAAGGACAAATTTAAATGTCTGTATTTGCTGGTAGAAACTGCAGTCGCCGTAAGACAACGCGAAAAGGAGCAAGAAGAAATAAAACTCTAGTTGTGGAAGGAACAAAAGAAGAATTACTTCATCCCGCCCAACCCCCGTGCCTTCTTGCTATCTTTACGTAATAACTTTGGGAGTTGACAGTTTCGTTCGTTTCTTAAGATTCAAATAATGATGTGTTGCAATTTTTACATTTTTTTACAATGTTAGATGTTTTTTTATGTTGTACTCTTTCTTGCATAAATGTAAGTAGTTAATAAAAATAGGCTACAAGTTTGGTACAAATTCGTTCGATCATAAAAAAAGATAGATATTATAAATACTATATGTATGTGGTAGAGTGAAGAATGTTAGCATAAGTGTTTTCTAAAAGTGTCTGATCCGCGAAATAGTGAAAAAATCGGTTGTGAACGTAATTGTGACAACAATTGATTTTGAAATAAAATGCTAACGTTTTTTAAAAGATATTTACCTGGCTTTTATTTATGATATATATATAAAACTAAACATTCATATCATTGTATACAATAAATTACCAGTGAGGCTACTTTACCTAAAATGTGAATAATAAAAGCCCCACTGGCGGTCCCAAGGAAGCTTAATTTTATCCCTCTACATTATTGAGTAAAAGTTCAACTAGTTTGCAGGCAATAGAAGTGCCTGTTGAAATAATTCAGGCATACAAAAGAAGAAATTTTATAAAGTTTTTCCAATTGTCTATTAACGCATAGTAATCTATACAAGAAATTAGGAAAATGATGCCCATAACAGTTGGTGAAAAATATTAGGCTTAGCAGCAGTTCTGCCTTTTTTCTCACCATCAGCCTTTAAAATCTAAAATTTCGAGCCAGCATTATTAAACTACCATAGATGCTAAAATCATGGACTCATATAAATAATCCTCTGCGGGTTCTAAATATGTAAGTTAGGTAATTGTATGTTCAATAGTTTTATTTAGAAAAAAGGAAAATTGTTTCGGGTGCAAGTGGAAATTCAGTGTTGATTTATTCAAAAACTACTCAGGACATCATAATTTAATTTAGGCCAATCAATTGCGCATCATTTGTGCTTGAAGATTGATCTAATATAGTAAACAGAATTTATCTGTGTATTATTTATTAGTAATGACTACATATAATCCTGAATTTTTCATTGATATTACTAATTCACATGCACCATTGATGAATCATAGATAATACCATGATAATACTAATGTCATTGAATGCCAAGTATTATTTGTAATCATTACTAATAAATAATACAAAAATAAACTCTGCTTACCGTAATACTCAGTATTCAAGCACAAATGACGCGCAATCGTTTAGCGTCAATTAAATTATCATATCTTGAGTAGTTTTTGAATAAATTGACATTTAATTTCCATCTGTTCCCGAAACAATTTTCCATTCTTTTAACAGAACTAATGGACGCACAATTATGATACTTGCATATTTAGAACCCGCAAACGACGCACAATTTATTAATAAAGATTGAATTAGTAGATCATTTATAGCGGTTGCCAGATTCACACGATAGACAATGGTTCGACCATATAGTTCAACATTATCATAAATAATAAACTTCTCTTGTCTATGATACATACACACTAACCTAAAAAATATATTTCACTGTGCAAAATCTTGATAATCTAAATAATTTTCAAAAATGGATAAAATGGAAACCAGTGATTCTTCTAGTTCCGAAAGTGATGAAAACGAAAACGTATATCCACTAATATGATGTACTTTAATTTACCTTTATTTGTAACATTAAAAATTATAGGAACTGGAAGGTCGAGCTGAAGAACTTGAAAGACAACTTGCAGACAACAAATATTTATACGATGTACATGTAGAATTAGTGAATTTATATCGTCAAATAGGAGATTTAAAATCTATGCGTGCTGCTTATGAGAGATTTTATGAATTGTTTCCTTTAACACCAGAACTTTGGTTAACATGGTTAAAAATAGAAATGGAACTTGCTATTAGTCCTGAAGATAAAAAGAATGTGCTTGGTCTATTTGAGAAAGCAGTTGAAGATTATTTGTGTAAGTATGAATGAAAAATGATATTGTTATTATATTGTATTATTTATTAATAGCAATCAATTTGTGGTTGGAATATGCTCAATTTTCCATGGGGGTATTGGAATCTGATGAAGTAAGGATAATCATAAATAAAGGATTGTCAGTAGGAGGACTTCATGTTAGTGAAGGGTCTTTATTGTGGGATGTCCTAAGAGAATTTGAAATTACACATTTATCTTTAATGGAAGTTGGTACTGAAGAGTGGCAGAAACAATTACAAACGGTACAAGAGGTTTTCCGTCGACAGTTATCAGTACCTCTTTTGGACATGGAAGGCACCTACAGAGAATGGAAATTCTGGCTAGAACAACTTCCTGAAAACCATGGACTGGATGTAAAACAAGTTGAGTGGGCTTACCAGAATGCATTAAAAAAATTAGAAAAATACACTCCATTTGAAGAACGTATTCTAGAACTGAATGATGATACAGAAATTCTTAACTGCTACAGAGAATACATTAAGGCTTCTAATGATCCTTCCATGTGTCTTTGTTTGTACGAAAGAGCAGTAGCAAAATTAAGTTTAAATACAGAGTTATGGTCTGAATATTGTTACTATTGCATGAAACTAGGCGAAATATGTAATAAGGTAGTCAAAAGAGCCTTGAGAAATTGCCCTTGGTCAGAAGAACTTTGGATTTGCTTGCTAAGAATATTAGAGGACCAAAAAAAAGAGCAAAAAGAAGTTACTGAATCCTTAGAGCAAGGATTAACCAGTATATCACCTACCCCAGGACTTAATTTATGGTTAGCTTATTTGGAGTATTTCAAAAGAAATTCTGAATCCACTGAACATCTTCACAAATTATTTTCACAAGCTTTCCATCAACTGGGGGATATTAATGACCCTTCTTTCATTTTGCATAGATGGGAAGCGAGATTGTATGTAAAGGAGGGGAATTTTGAAGGGGCTCGTAAAATCTGGTCTGATATCTTAAAAAACCCTAATTTCAGGAAGTCTGCGAGTGCTTGGCTTGAATATGCAGCATTAGAAAGACAATCTAAAGAGCCACAAACGCTTAGAATGATTTTTCAAAGGGCAATTTCTGTGCCTTTAGACTGGCCACAATACATAGTTGACGAATGGACATTATTCGAAAGAGAATTTGGAACTCTTCAAGATATTATTCGCTGCGAAAAAATCTGCAAAGAGAACCTTAAAAAACATATGCTCAACAACAGTAACCTTCCTGCAGAAAATGAAAAAAGAATAGAGAGAAAAAGGCCGTGGGAAGATGATAAAGAAAAAATATCCCAATTCAAAAAAATTAAGCAAACAGACCGCAAGCTAACTAAGAAACTAAATCCTTCAGATTTCGATAAAGAAAAATCTATTTTCCTTAGTAATATGCGGTCAAGTGTAACAGAAGAAAAATTGAAGGAACTTTTCCCGAACGCAGTAAAAATCCTTATACCTACTGATAAAAGAGGAAATTCAAGGTGTTTTGCATACATAGAATTTGGAGATAAAGAAGAAGCTGAAAAATCTCTCCAAAGAGACAGGGAACCAATAGACGGTCGGCCTTTATTCATATCGAAATGCAGGAGCCAAGAACAAACTGAAAAAAAATTTAAATTTCCTACGACAAAGGAAAAAAACAAACTGTTCGTCAAGGGATTGCCATTTTCATACACAAATAAGGATTTAGAAGACATCTTCAAACCTCACGGCGCTGTTGCTGTACGTTTAGTCACGTACAAGGATGGACAATCAAAGGGAATTCACATGCACCATTGATGAATCATAGATAATACCATGATAATACTAATGTCATTGAATGCCAAGTATTATTTGTAATCATTACTAATAAATAATACAAAAATAAACTCTGCTTACCGTAATACTCAGTATTCAAGCACAAATGACGCGCAATCGTTTAGCGTCAATTAAATTATCATATCTTGAGTAGTTTTTGAATAAATTGACATTTAATTTCCATCTGTTCCCGAAACAATTTTCCATTCTTTTAACAGAACTAATGGACGCACAATTATGATACTTGCATATTTAGAACCCGCAAACGACGCACAATTTATTAATAAAGATTGAATTAGTAGATCATTTATAGCGGTTGCCAGATTCACACGATAGACAATGGTTCGACCATATAGTTCAACATTATCATAAATAATAAACTTCTCTTGTCTATGATACATACACACTAACCTAAAAAATATATTTCACTGTGCAAAATCTTGATAATCTAAATAATTTTCAAAAATGGATAAAATGGAAACCAGTGATTCTTCTAGTTCCGAAAGTGATGAAAACGAAAACGTATATCCACTAATATGATGTACTTTAATTTACCTTTATTTGTAACATTAAAAATTATAGGAACTGGAAGGTCGAGCTGAAGAACTTGAAAGACAACTTGCAGACAACAAATATTTATACGATGTACATGTAGAATTAGTGAATTTATATCGTCAAATAGGAGATTTAAAATCTATGCGTGCTGCTTATGAGAGATTTTATGAATTGTTTCCTTTAACACCAGAACTTTGGTTAACATGGTTAAAAATAGAAATGGAACTTGCTATTAGTCCTGAAGATAAAAAGAATGTGCTTGGTCTATTTGAGAAAGCAGTTGAAGATTATTTGTGTAAGTAAGAATGAAAAATGATATTGTTATTATATTGTATTATTTATTAATAGCAATCAATTTGTGGTTGGAATATGCTCAATTTTCCATGGGGGTATTGGAATCTGATGAAGTAAGGATAATCATAAATAAAGGATTGTCAGTAGGAGGACTTCATGTTAGTGAAGGGTCTTTATTGTGGGATGTCCTAAGAGAATTTGAAATTACACATTTATCTTTAATGGAAGTTGGTACTGAAGAGTGGCAGAAACAATTACAAACGGTACAAGAGGTTTTCCGTCGACAGTTATCAGTACCTCTTTTGGACATGGAAGGCACCTACAGAGAATGGAAATTCTGGCTAGAACAACTTCCTGAGAACCATGGACTGGATGTAAAACAAGTTGAGTGGGCTTACCAGAATGCATTAAAAAAATTAGAAAAATACACTCCATTTGAAGAACGTATTCTAGAACTGAATGATGATACAGAAATTCTTAACTGCTACAGAGAATACATTAAGGCTTCTAATGATCCTTCCATGTGTCTTTGTTTGTACGAAAGAGCAGTAGCAAAATTAAGTTTAAATACAGAGTTATGGTCTGAATATTGTTACTATTGCATGAAACTAGGCGAAATATGTAATAAGGTAGTCAAAAGAGCCTTGAGAAATTGCCCTTGGTCAGAAGAACTTTGGATTTGCTTGCTAAGAATATTAGAGGACCAAAAAAAAGAGCAAAAAGAAGTTACTGAATCCTTAGAGCAAGGATTAACCAGTATATCACCTACCCCAGGACTTAATTTATGGTTAGCTTATTTGGAGTATTTCAAAAGAAATTCTGAATCCACTGAACATCTTCACAAATTATTTTCACAAGCTTTCCATCAACTGGGGGATATTAATGACCCTTCTTTCATTTTGCATAGATGGGAAGCGAGATTGTATGTAAAGGAGGGGAATTTTGAAGGGGCTCGTAAAATCTGGTCTGATATCTTAAAAAACCCTAATTTCAGGAAGTCTGCGAGTGCTTGGCTTGAATATGCAGCATTAGAAAGACAATCTAAAGAGCCACAAACGCTTAGAATGATTTTTCAAAGGGCAATTTCTGTGCCTTTAGACTGGCCACAATACATAGTTGACGAATGGACATTATTCGAAAGAGAATTTGGAACTCTTCAAGATATTATTCGCTGCGAAAAAATCTGCAAAGAGAACCTTAAAAAACATATGCTCAACAACAGTAACCTTCCTGCAGAAAATGAAAAAAGAATAGAGAGAAAAAGGCCGTGGGAAGATGATAAAGAAAAAATATCCCAATTCAAAAAAATTAAGCAAACAGACCGCAAGCTAACTAAGAAACTAAATCCTTCAGATTTCGATAAAGAAAAATCTATTTTCCTTAGTAATATGCGGTCAAGTGTAACAGAAGAAAAATTGAAGGAACTTTTCCCGAACGCAGTAAAAATCCTTATACCTACTGATAAAAGAGGAAATTCAAGGTGTTTTGCATACATAGAATTTGGAGATAAAGAAGAAGCTGAAAAATCTCTCCAAAGAGACAGGGAACCAATAGACGGTCGGCCTTTATTCATATCGAAATGCAGGAGCCAAGAACAAACTGAAAAAAAATTTAAATTTCCTACGACAAAGGAAAAAAACAAACTGTTCGTCAAGGGATTGCCATTTTCATACACAAATAAGGATTTAGAAGACATCTTCAAACCTCACGGCGCTGTTGCTGTACGTTTAGTCACGTACAAGGANATTAAAAGTATACTAGTGTACTATTAAATTTGAAGTTTAGCTTTTTTTTGTTCTACTTTAACATTAGACAGATCCTCCCCACTTATAGAGCAATTAATCTTTTTAATGTTTTAATGTTAGTCGTAACATTTTGTGATTAGTCACGTACAAGGATGGACAATCAAAGGGTTTAGCATATATTGAATTTTCTAACGAAGAAATGGCTGAAAAGGCACTGAAAGCCACAGATCAAATGAAACTAGAAGACTCTACAATTTCTGTATTTATAAGCGCACCACCTCCGAAAAAATCCCCTTCGGAAGAAAGAACACTCTTAGGGGCGGGAAGAAATGGTAGCACTTTACAACATGGTCGCCCTCGTTTAAAAGTACCACTTATTCCAAGGGCATTGCAATCAAAAGTAATCAGCTCTAACTCAACGGAAACCAGTGAAAACAAAGCGACAGCAAAAAGCAATGAAGATTTTAGAAAAATGCTACTGAAAAAAAGTTAAAAAGAATGTTTGTTTTTCACATTTCGATCATAAGTATCATAATATATAAATAGGCAGTATTTTGTATTTAGTTTAAGTTTTTTAAGGAATAGTAAAACGATAAGTATTTCTGTTAATTTTGTGTTAAAATAAAAGTAATTAATGCTTAAAATTTAACAAAAATATTTTATTCTTTTATATGTATACATTCTCAACTTTTTTTGACATAAAACTTAAACGTAGTTACTCAACCATCAATAATTTCATTTGTTTCTTATTATTACCTAAGAAATAATGTAAGTTTACTACTCCTTATAGTGATACAGAAGTTTTATAACTTTTTTTTTGTAAAGCAGGTTTAATAGCTTCAAGTACGACAAGAAGGGCTTGGTCCAAGGAGATTGATGGCTAATCGGACTTTTTAGCACTTTGATACTATTAGCTTTCAATGTTTAGGAGTACCTTATAATTGAAAAATTAAAAAACGATTTTACAATAAAAACAATAGATGTTATGCTTTCTAGTAATTAGATAAAACTTTGGATGCTGATAAACTAACGAAGTGATATGTAGACAAAAAATATGTATCAGAACTTTTTATAGAATATTTTATTTTTTTTTTTTCAATGAACCTCGTCCTGTTGTGTTGGCCTTTTTTTTATATAAACGAAAATATCTGTTAAACTATTCTTATATTTTCTAATAGTCTATTAATGAACCACCTTGGACCAAAGTTTATTTCATATGTACTGCATCTATTAAACCTGTAAAAGCAAAAAAATTGAATCTTCCTACTACCCAATATCTTCTTTTTAAAAATACAGTGTTCGTAGTTTTCTAAAGTAAGAAAAGGGCATTGCCAGATAAGTGTGTTGATTTTGGCCGAGACTAAATCGAATTTTTAATAAAAAATCAATATCAGACAGTTATATCAACGCATTTGAGTTATCACTATATTTGAATCATTATTTATGTGCTGCAGAAACCATTGGATCCAAAGGCGCAACAACCTCCAAAACTGAGGTGTCTAATAAGAAAAACGCACCTTGTTATAAATTTTGCCTACTTTGATTACTATTTTAATAAAAAATCAGCGTACAAGTTTATGTCGTTGAATTGATGGTCTTACTTACAGTTCGATTTTCTCTAAATAATACATTTGCATCGACACCCATTACACTTGCCCAATAAAGTAATAATACTAACTAAAATTTAAAGTCAGTTTCAAAATATAAAACTTTTACTGCTAAATAACAAATTACTTTGCCTCCTATGTCCTGCCTGTAATTTTTTTTTTCATAAACGTGACATAAAATATAAAGAATTTTAGGAACCTTGATTCTTCATAGAACACCGTGTATACATCATTAATAAATTCTTCAACATTGCGTGTAATCAACTCCTTTGCAAAACAAAATAACTTGTGACTAATTTTCAGCCTATCCAAATTAATATAATACGTCATCCGTATATCCTAATCTTTAAAAGCAGATAATTAATAAAAGGATCACGAANGTTATGCTTTCTAGTAATTAGTTAAAACTTTGGATGCTGATAAACTAACGAAGTGATATGTAGACAAAAAATATGTATCAGAACTTTTTATAGAATATTTTATTTTTTTTTTCAATGAACTTCGTCCTGTTGTGTTGGCCTTTTTTTTATATAAACGAAAATATCTGTTAAACTATTCTTATATTTTCTAATAGTCTATTAATGAACCACCTTGGACCAAAGTTTATTTCATATGTACTGCATCTATTAAACCTGTAAAAGCAAAAAAATTGAATCTTCCTACTACCCAATATCTTCTTTTTAAAAATACAGTGTTCGTAGTTTTCTAAAGTAAGAAAAGGGCATTGCCAGATAAGTGTGTTGATTTTGACCGAGTCTAAATCGAATTTTTAATAAAAAATCAATATCACTCGGTTATATCAACGCATTTGAGTTATCACTCTATATTTGAATCATTATTTATGTGCTGCAGAAACCATTGGATCCAAAGGCGCAACAACCTCCAAAACTGAGGTGTCTAATAAGAAAAACGCACCTTGTTATAAATTTTGCCTACTTTGATTACTATTTTAATAAAAAATCAGCGTACAAGTTTATGTCGTTGAATTGATGGTCTTACTTACAGTTCGATTTTCTCTAAATAATACATTTGCATCGACACCCATTACACTTGCCCAATAAAGTAATAATACTAACTAAAATTTAAAGTCAGTTTCAAAATATAAAACTTTTACTGCTAAATAACAAATTACTTTGCCTCCTATGTCCTGCCTGTAATTTTTTTTTTCATAAACGTGACATAAAATATAAAGAATTTTAGGAACCTTGATTCTTCATAGAACACCGTGTATACATCATTAATAAATTCTTCAACATTGCGTGTAATCAACTCCTTTGCAAAACAAAATAACTTGTGACTAATTTTCAGCCTATCCAAATTAATATAATACGTCATCCGTATATCCTAATCTTTAAAAGCAGATAATTAATAAAAGGATCACGAATTATTAACTCAGAGTAAATTAAAATACAAACCGTACGCAGAATGAATCCTAAATTCCTCCTTTAATATATTCCAAAATAATCGTCCCTTACAATAAATAATTTTTTTCTTTTTAGTCACAGCTCGAAATACCGGATTATGTTTAAAAAAAAAGGCCATCACATAGGATATAAAAAACTATTTACATATATATACAAATCAGTTTATATTAACCACATGTAACATTATAGAGGATAATCTTAATTAAAACACAAAATAAGTATATATTTAGGTATAAAAAAACACTAATTACTTATTATAATTATCATAAAGTTAACGTTTTCCTACACGGCTGGGCCTTTTAAAAATAGAAATTATTTTCCTCTTCTCTCTTGCATACTTTATAATTATAATCACAAAATTGCCATTTTCTGGTACAAACTTATTACCCAACATCATCAACTAATTATCAATTGTATTTTCATTATAATTTTTAATAATTGGGATTGTAGGGAGCCTGTTTTGAATATCCTTCTTTTACTATGTTTGGATTATAAGGCTGAGTTGGTCCCGATTGTCCAACCACTTCGTGGTACGGAGGTGGCAACTGTCCTGGTGCTGGATGTGCAGGGGGATAAGGAGCAACACCCACCGGAGGATATGGAGGAGAACCTAAAAGAATGGTATTTAACATTTATGTGACATTTATTATTTATTTAATTAGTAAATTAATAACACAACAAAAAATAATTAATAAATTATACCAACCAAACCAAAAATCAAAGCCAGAGTAACAACCACTAACAAGGATGCAACTTCCTTTTTTTCTCAATGTAGGAGAAATAAAATGACAGGAGAAAACCCAATTTTAAAAAAAATATCTATTATTTTAAACAGGCAAAAAAAGGAGAAATGTAAAAGGCGAGAAAAGAGAAGCTGAATCTTTGTAATATTCTGCAACTTCAATATTTATGGTAACTGTTAATTAGAAGTATTCCCTTTTAATAAAAAATGTTTCTATTATAGCTGTGTTGTATTCTTTAGGAATGTTCCATTATTATTTACATGTGTGTATATATGTCCATATACCTATCTAATTTAACTGGAATTTTGTAAGTAATAATAATAATGCCTCTATTAATTAATTACAGATAATGTTCTATTAAAGTTACAAAAGTTCTCAAAGGTCAAGCAACTCATATTTCAAGATAATTAAATGACCTACCTAAATAATCATTGGAAACAATTTGATTTCATGAAAGTATTACCTATCTGATGTCGTGTTTTTATATTACATACATTCATTTAGTTCTAAGTACTACAAAGTGGAATTGTTTATTTAATTAAATGTTTGCTTTACTGTCAGTTTAGTTACCATAAAGGGCTACATTGATTTCCCAAGTAGTCAAGCATGTCAAATAAATTTGTATTACAAAAAAAAGTGATATAAATGATAAAATAATTTAATTTGAACCAGTCTTAGCTTTAGACCTACCCATTGTAACAATTGATTGGCCTGGTTGTGAAAATCCATACGGTGCTGCTAAGGAAATGTTAATAAAAATTACTTTTAAATTTTTCATTGGTAAAAAAGGAAATTAAAAAGAAGCATTAACACTGTATGTATAAAATATACAAACGCTGTTTTTTTATAAATTTCACTGATTTGGAACTAATTCAGTAGTGTGGACTTGGGGTCTGGGATGTTGAAATATCATTACAATTGAAAAAGCTTGTAATCTATCAAAACCAACATTCTACTTGACAACAGTACTTACAATAACTTTATACAAAATTACCTGGATATAATGGATGGTATGATGGATAATGATGATAAGCTCCTATTCATAAACATTCAGAAGTATAATATTAAAACAACGGAATTTATAGAAACAAAAAGATTAGTATTTTACCTGGTTGCATAGGGGGCTGTCCAGTTGGATAAGGGGCTGTTTGATGAGCAAATCCAATGCCTGTAGGTGCTTGAACTGGTTGAGGAATAGGGTGTTGCGGTCCTGAAGGATAAGGTGGAATATTTGGTGTTGTAGATACGTGTGTTGATGTTATTGTAACCGGAGGAGCTTCTATAAAAGAATAAAACTACCAGGTTAAACAAAAGTGCTTTTTTGTACACAGCTTACGTCCATATACAATTCCAGCTTTACGTCTCTTACAACACCAGCCACAAATTGAAAACAAAATGCAAAATATAATTAACAACACTATGGGCAAAAATATTTCCATGTCTGATGGCACGCACTTTTTTACACACTTTCAGTTTTATTTAATAAACGGCCAATGTCGACCTTCTTTTTTTAAGCGTCCTTTACTTAATGCAAAGCTTGAAAGCCAATTGACCTCTTGTCATTTTATAATCTCTACACCATTGTAATTTAATACATGTATTTTCAGCTCTTGCTATTATAATTAAATGCTAACTAAACATAAAAACGTATAGTTAAACAGATACACAAATAATATGCAAGGCAGCAAAACAACGCTGATGAATAATATTGCTGCTTTTGATGAAAAACAGTAATCATAGATATGATCGTAGATTAGAAATATAATTCTTGCAGTATATATTTTTCTAATCTATGACACTGATCATAGATATTTGTCTATGATAGATATATTAATCTTAGAGTATATATACATGGAGTGCTAATGTACCCTTAGTACTCGTACGTTTGATAGGAAATATGAAAGTGCCCTGTTTTCTTTTGAAATTAAGTGTTATTATTACTGCCTGAAATTTAGAATGCATTCAACTTTAGTGAACGTATACATCTAATCGTAAAATAATTAATTTATCAGTATTTAAAGAGGAAATTAGGATGTTTCTAAGATTTGATAAATAATATTTCGATTAAAACGATATTTCTAATTTAATTATCTGTAATAAATATTTAATTCTCATCTGTCATTTGAAAATTTGCCCTTCAATCGGCACTTTCACCGACTCAGATTTTGAATACCGCTCCTATCGCACGAACGTGTACTACAATCAACTACAATTTACCTAGTCTAGGACTACAATCACCCTTTGTAGATCTATTATCTATGACTACAATGTTATTAGGACAGAGAAGATACTGTGAAGAAGATATTAGGATAGGCATTGGCCCATAGATAAAAGATATAGATAGACATATCATAGACATGTATTTGTAACCGTTGATGGCATAGACGTCGATGGTCGACGGTATACATCATAGACATACATTAATGGACGTGCCTTAGCCGTATGTCAATGTAACAATTTCTTAGCTCGAAAAGTAAGGAAGATTGTGTATGGTTTCGGATTGAAACAACTATTAGTATCGGTTAGTATAGAGATATCGTGAAATTTACCTAATGATTAGAATTTTTTTTATAATATCTCGAATATCTTCCGTCTTTCATTTCCTATATGTGAAGATTCTTAATTTTTATGGCGTTACGTCTCTTTACCTGTTAACTTTTCTTCAAGTTGTATTATGAATTCTCAATTGGGACATAAAAATTACATTTTTTGACCTTCAGTATTGTCAATATTTATCTACTACTCAATATAATGTTTCTTAAAATTTTGTTTTTACAATTTAAGAAAAACGTTCTACGTGCAAATTATCAACTTTCAACTGCACACAATTACAAAAAATAAATGAAAGGTAACTGATAATTTTAACTCTTTTACGTTTGTTCATTACGATATAGTTGAAAATTATAATGCCTTCTTTTGTTACGGTATGGTTTATTCGGAAACATTTTTTCGCAGTGTTTATAATACTTCCGAAAACTGTTAAGTACCTACACTGGTTTACTGAATGTTTCTTTGTAAAAAAGCTTGATTTCATTAGATTTCGCTTAATTTATCAAGTACCTATATACGACTTTTTTCTATATTTGGTAAAGTGGGCTAAGGCATTTTCTATTTTTTTTTTTTCAGAAAATGGTACTTATAGTACAATATATGGTCATTTTTTACATTAGTTGACAGACGAGTTGAGTCATGAAGTTAAGTCAGGTAAGTAGTACTCACCAAGTAGAATCGTGTGGTAGTATTAATTCCATGCGGAAACTTATGTAGCTGGAGATACAGGCTCCTAAAGTTTTACTTAATAAGAGGAAATTTCGGTTGATACGGCCCTGGTTGCAGCCCTTCATCAGCTGTTCTCGCCAAATATGTATTGATGACGTCATTGTTTAGTTAGGTACAATTATGATAAACTGGAATTCCCTTAAAGCCCCTGCTGATATATTGGAATAATGTTACGAGATATGTTTTAGGACAAACGATGTTTGACGGGAACAGCTGACGGAAGGCTGAAGCCAGGACCGTACCTACCGAAATTTCCTTCGATTAACAAAACTTTAACAGCGTGTATCTCAGTCACATTCATTTTTAAACAAATAATAAACAAAATTCTAATAATTCCCACTAGTTTACTTCGTGGGTACTACCTACCTGGCTAAACTTCATGTCTCAATCTCAACACCAATGTCAACTAATGTAAAAAATTATAATCTAGTGTTTTGGGTCCACTTCTTATCAATATTAATTATGGGTATAGGACACGAACAAATTGGATCAAAAGGTAAGATTATTTGAATTTGATGAATGAACTGTTTTTGCAATCAAATACTTGGACTGATTTTCAATTGTTTCTGGTATTTTTTTGTTATTTATCTTCTTAATCTAATAGTGTATTTAATCTGTTTTGTCGTGCTTTTTACCACAGTTTCATATGTGAATGAGATAGAGCACATTGAAATATATTTTGCTTTCACTGGTGCGATAGTACCCTTCTTGCGGGACTTCTTTATCTTGGGACATTAACTCAGTAATTAAAGTGATAATGCAATGAATGAAGAAAAGTTCAGGCAACATCAAAGAAAATTAATTATAATTCTTTTCTTTCATTCACGAAAATCGAAAGAAGTTCTGTTGAGGAAGTAAATAAAACACCATCAAATACCTAAAATTCGACATAAAACGGTTTTATTTATTATTTATTCGGCTAACAGGCTCCGAGCTTTTTTTAAAACATTGGAATACATTAACTAAGGGTCAGTATTAAAAGTATACTAGTGTACTATTAAATTTGAAGTTTAGCTTTTTTTTGTTCTNACATTTTGGCGTATGTATAATATTTCTTTTAAATATCTATTGTTCACAACTATGAAATGTTGCTTAACGTTTATCTATTGTTTACCCCTTAAATTGATTTTATCGCGCATCTATGGTATTTCAATAATTATCTATTGTCTTAATCGTTATTGACATCGCGCATCTATGATTATTTCATATTTATCTGTCAACTATGTTTGACATTTGTCGCCATTTTATATTATTCAGGTTTTTTACTTGCTTTTTGGTGCGTGTTTTAAGTGTGTTTAATCTCTTTTCGTTAATTAAAAGTTTAATTGATATGTCTTTTTCCATTTCTGCAGGTTATCTAACGAGTGAGAGAGAATTAATGTTCAGTTTGGTCATACTGAAACAGCCAATGTCTACATGGGCGTTGTCTTTCGTGGAAATGCATTTTGATACTACTGAAAAAATAAGTTGTCTCCTTCCTATGATGTTTTATCTGTTACCTTTCCATCTTGAAGACTCTTATAGTTAGCCGATTAAGGTGAGCATACATGCTATATTATATATACTTCGTAACAATTGTTTTGAAAACGTTGTACGATTAAAATAATAAATAATTAAAAACTACGTAGTGGCAGTTATACACAAACACTTTAAAAACAACAGATGATTTTTAGTCTTATCTATACAAAAAAGCAACCCAAATTCCATCATTATTACATTTTTGACTAAATAAAACTATCCAACAACCTGGGCGAAACGTTGGCTGTGGTTTTTTAAATAAAATAAATTTGAACCCCAGTACTGCTTTGATGAAAAATAATATAAAAATTAAGGGCAATGTTTTAGGAAAATTATTTTAATAGACACATTTTAGCTTTTCAAATACGAGGCAGAGCGTAAATCGTTGATAATTTTGTATGTGACGCACTTTTTCGTTAAAAACCCAATGTTTCAAAATTTTCCGATTTTATTGTTATTGATTACAAAAATATAAATATTTTATCAGTATGCAGTTGAATTTACATTGCTGCATATGTGGTTGCATATGAGATATTTTATGTTTCTACATAATTTTTCCTTGTGTCTATATTCATGACTGTTCATCACTGTCAATCGCGGTTACAGTTAATTTTTTAAATACATGATATTTGCATTATTACAGTGAATATACCAACTTTAAATGTAAAGCCGATTTCGGATACGATTAGCGTTATCAGTTTATCCCAATTTTTTTCTAAAAAAAGCCTGGTTGCCGTTCATAGTTCCATTGCGTTTTACTGATTTTGCTAGGTATGTTTTTAAATTGAAATTATTATAGTACCGATGTTACAGTGCGAGTCGAAACTTATTGACGTAAGCACATAAATTATTAAATTTTAATAAGATAATCTAATTTTATTTGGTACATAGACAGTCTATGAAAATAATTATGATTTTACCACACTTGCCACTGTTAATGTAAATTAATTTTTTTTATTTTGTTTTGTATATTTCTCTAATGTGAGCATTTTTACAGTCGTGTACATTACAATTATCTTACGATTTCTATTAGAGGAAGTTGCTTATAGCTAAAAATGCGAAAAAGAAACTGTTAGCTTGGGAAAGTTTTGATGAGAGTATAAAGAGGTAAGTTCGTTTCATGCGAATTGGTATGTAACGAAATCATGCAACGGATGTCCCCCCTCTACTCGGCCACGTAGTCGAGTTCGTAGTGGGGATCGCTTGAGCCGTGAGCGCGCTTCAATGCAANCTCCAAGGAACTGTAAAAGTTATATACAATATATTTAAAATTAAAAGGGAAAAGTGTTCGGTATTACTTTAATATTGTATTATACATGTTTTTTAGCATCCCTACGCTTAATAATATCTGAATACTCTCTCATAATATTCCAATTTACAGGAGCATAAAAACCGGGATGACGTTTTATAAAACATTGGTTTCTCTTTCACTCTGCAATGTAGCAGTACTTACATTCTGTAGGAAAGAGTGATGGTGCTTTTTTTTGCATTGGGAACGAAGATTGTCTTATTGTTAAAGGAAGGATTTATGGCATGACTTGGTAAGTAACGTTTTAGAAATGTCAAAAGCAGAATAGCAGAATCAGTGGAACTGTCTTTCTGGCAGTGTAAAAGTTAGCTTAATATGAAGGATCATTTGTTTTTTTTTTTTTGAAAACATTATACTTATATTTCGACTTTAATTTGAGAATCAGAAGAAAAATAATAATGATTAAATATCGTAGCAGATAATTTTATTTGGTACAGAAGCAGTCAATGAAAATAATCATGACTTTACAACACTTACTGTTAATGTGAATTAATTTTTTTTATTTTGTTTTGTATATTTCTCTAATGTGAGCATTTTTACAGTCGTGTACATTACAATTATCTTACGATTTCTATTAGAGGAAGTTGCTTATAGCTAAAAATGCGAAAAAGAAACTGTTAGCTTGGGAAAGTTTTGATGAGAGTATAAAGAGGTAAGTTCGTTTCATGCGAATTGGTATGTAACGAAATCATGCAACGGATGTCCCCCCTCTACTCGGCCACGTAGTCGAGTTCGTAGTGGGGATCGCTTGAGCCGTGAGCGCGCTTCAATGCAACGTTCGTCACAGGCAACTCCGGCATGTATAGTGTAAAATTTAAATTCATAGTGTACAAATAATACCATTAAACCAATTCCTTAACCCCTATCCCGGTATGTTTGTGTGTTTGAAGAAGTTTCACTTCAGTAGCGTGTTGTATAATTACACGT